TCCTGGAAAAGCTTAATGTTCTGTGGGATGTAGGAAGAAGTCTTTCAAGGTAACTTCACATGGGATACATAGAAGATTCACAAGGAACTGGTAAATGTTGTTATTATTTCTGTGCTTCTTGTAAGATCTTGTCTACTGCGTGTTGTGACCTGGACCTGAGAACAACTGTAAATTTTATGTTCCCAGATTGAGGGTTAATTCCTCCTTTAATGATTTGATTTCGATTCCTAAAATTTCTCCCTCAATATTATATCAGGGTAGCTTTATTTTGTTTTATTTTTTCAATTAATTTTATTTTATTTCTTTTTTGAGGAAGATTAGCCATGAGCTAACATCTGCAGCCAATCCTCCACTTTTTGCTGAGGCTTGACAAGTGGTGCATAGGTCTGTACCTGGGATCTGAACCGGCAAACCTGGGGCTGCTGAAGTGGAACGTGAGAACTTAACCGCTGCACCACTGGGCCAGCCCCGGGTAACTTTATTTTTCCTTCCAGTTTCTAGCTGAAAATTCAGCCACTGCAGGCTTTCCTAAGGAGGGATCCTTGTTGAGTACTTTTTCCTATTACCAAGAATTTGCTTTCTAAAGGTCATACAGAAAGAGACTGCCATTACTTATCTGTCCTGATTCGCTAAAGTCTTTTGTTGTAATAATATGGATAATATGGGGCATTTTCATTCCTCAAAGAGGTGTTTTTTTGTCCCCCTTTTTTCATTTGATTTGCCAAACTGACCTTTGCCAGCCCCAGTGCCTCATGATAGGCAAGTGTTTTTATTTAAAAGTATGACTGAGTACAATGAAATCCTTGCCTGTATGCTCTATAATGCCCCCTAAAGATTCTCAGTTCCCCCTTTGCCATATGAGAAAATCTCCAACTCCAAATATTCTGACCTCCATCTACCCCTGGCTTTAATCTCCTAGGCATGGTCACTAGCATTTTATAACACAATTCCTTATTTACTTTTCCTTCCCTATGGTCAAGTTCTGTTCTATAGTAAGTAATATTGTCATAACCTTCATTTTGGGAAATAAAAAGTTCAGTTCCCCTACTACTTAATTTTTTCTTCCAAAAATTGAGTGTAACCTGGCTAGGCTTTAAGAAACCACTAGCTAAAAGCAGTGATGAAATGTTCTGGGAGTAACACTCTTGGGAAAATGTGCAATTTCACCAGTACTCTGATTTTTTTCTACTTCGCTTTTTAAATTCTCTTTTTGAACTTCTTCAATGGTCTTCCTGGTGTAAAGGCTGAATGAAAATTTGAGAGAATAGTCCTTTAACTAACTGACAGAAAAATAAGTAGCTACTGAAGAAGACTTCAGAGGGATTTCTGAAGAGTCCTAGATGTCAAATTCGTTTGTTGAAGCAAAATAAGATTTGGGAGAGAGAAAGCAAAAAGTGTGGAATTCTGTTATTTTACTTAATTAGTGATTCCTCCCTTTTTATGAACAAAAGATGAAGCTGCCATTTAACAGAGAGGGGCTGGTCTATGATTGGGACATAAAGGACAGCAGAAATTCCCTCAAAATGTACTCTTGTTTCCAATAAAACCTGCCTTAATATTCTTAAGTTGCTCTGTGCTAATAAAATACAACAATGTTAACTTTCTCAAAAGGAAGTTATGTTTCATGAAAACAAATATTTATTTTCCTATCTGTGGAATATGAACTTTTATGGTCTGGCAGGTGAAGGATTAACCTCTAAATAAATCATTTTTATTTTATTCAGTATCTCCTCAAATAGGAACATTCTTCTTTGATTGAAGTTGGAGAATAGACTCTATTCTCTATTTGCAGATATAACTCTATCAAAATTAATAATGTATGAATGAAAATTCACAACCTAGTGCCTCTGGGTTGTGTGTAGAATAAAGGGAAAAGTCGAATTTGAAGGAGATGGTTTTCTTCTAGACCCTGCTTCGTATCTACCCTATTTAAGAATTTCCGAGCACTGGATGATATTTAAGTGTTTATTATATTTGAGTATTTATTAATTATTGTATAATAACATGGTGTTATTAGACATGATAAGGTCCCTATAATTCCCTCAAAGAGCTCTCAGACATTATAGAATTATGTTTCCTTAATCATGCAAAATATACGTCATGGCTGGGGCCAACTCGGTGGCGTGGTGGTTAAGTTTGCACACTCCTCTTTGGTGGCCCAGGGTTCACAGGTTCAGATCCTAGCACCACTCATCAAGCCATGCTGTGGCTGCATCCCACATAAAGCAGAGGAAGACTGGCGCAGATGTTAGCTCAACGACAATCTTCCTCAAGCAAAGAGAGGAAGATTGGCAACAGATGTTAGCTCAGGGCCATTCTCTCTCAGACACAAAAAAAGAAAATAATATGCTTCATGGCTATGCTAGTGAGCTTTGTTTCTCTTGAAGTTTAAGTTTTCATAAACCTCCAAATATTCTTGCTCTAAATGATTCAATTATATTTTTCAAAAAAATCATAAGAATTAAATTTCATGTTTTTAAAATAATCGTATCAACAAGAGAAACTGATTTGTACTAAAAAAGATGCTGAAACAAAGGGGAAGTTAAGAGTAAGTCTAATTTATAACACAATTCTAATTTATTAGTCTAATCTGATATTTAGATTTTTGTGTACTAAGGGTATTAAAGGAAATCCAATACACATAGTGAAATATAGCAATTATAATCTCTTTTGTCTTCTGCATGATGAAAAGAAGGATCGAATGTGCTCAAACTAGAATGATTGTTTTCTTTCCCCGCTTGATGCAGAATACATCTCCATGCTAAGACTATGTTGAAACTTTGCAAAGCCTTCATAACTGTAATATACAATCCAAGTCACAATTTCCTGAGGGAAAGCTTGCGGGAGCAAAAAAGAAACCATAATAATAAGAGTACTCAATTTGCCAAGAATTTTACTCATTTCTATGTTTCACACACAGAATCACATCTGGTATTCATAACAACTTTGTGAGGTAAATATAAAGATATTGTTATTTCTATTTTAAACTAAAGGAGAATTAAAACAATGTTTAAATTTACATTTAAACTTATACAAGTAGTCATAGTCACAGATTTCTGACATGTTGTAAATCTTAGACTCCTTACCCTAAGGTTTTTTCTCCCTGGTTAATCTAGGTATAGATATTTTCAGGTAATATTTTCCAATTTAATATTTGAATTCAAGACATTGATTAGGAATCAAGAAAGCTGAGTCTTGACATGGTTTTTCCAAGACTATTTGCTGCAATAAAGCATTTCACTTTCCTGTATCACTCATTCCATCTAACTGAAACTGAGACAGCTAAGGATGGGAGGGACAGCTAATTTAAGACTGCGAAAATGAAAGAAAATGACAAATGTTGATGGGAGGCAAAGGAAAGAGTGTATATCTTTCCATGCCTTAGAATTCATAATCTGATGAGAATTTAGTGAAACACAAACGAAAAGAAGCTTGAGCATTGTATCTCAGCCTAAACTCTAGTTAGTGTTGTCCAATGGATTCTCACACCCAGTGAGCGTGTGTCCAGGAGAGTGAAGCCCTGCCTGGTCTTTCTGTGCCATTGTCTCACCTTCTGGTACTCTTTTAGACAATGTTCAACTGCTATTCATAGGGTTTTCATGGCCCAATGTTTTGGAAGTGGGTGGACAGGTCCTTCTTCCTAGTCTGTCTTGGTCTGGAAGCTCCACTGACACCTGTCCCCCATGGATGACATTGCTGATATTTAAAATACTGGTGGCAAAGCTTTCAGTGTCATAGCAACTCGCAGCTGCCACAGCATGACAATTGACAAACCAATCAAACTATTAGATAGTATTAAAAGAATGTGTAATGTGGTATTTTATTGATATGCTAATTGCCATTTATTATCATTGTATGACCATTGTGAAACTTACGTGCTATTGAAAAGAGAAAACTTCACTTAGGTGATGAAATTTTGGAGATTTATTCAGTGTTAGTTTTTCTGAAAAACCAATTTTCAAAGTTTTCTTTTAGTGAAGGGAAGGATATCCATGAAATTATACTTATTCTTTTGAAAATTATAATTATACTTTAAACTTTTAAAACATAATATTGAAGATGCTTTGTAAAGAGTAAAGCACTATTTTAATTTCAATGGCTCATAAAATAGGTCATCGAAGCCATTTAAAATATTAGAAATAAATTTTACATGAACAAAAATAACCTTTCGCCCCAGCTATCTTTGGAAGAATGAAGAAGGATGCCTTCCGGGAGATTGGAAATACATAGTGTTTTGAGAACTACAAAACCAAACCCCATCATGGATTGAAACCTCCAGCTCATAGGAAAGTGACTGTCACAGAGTACTTTTCTAAATGCAATTTTCTTTTATTATTTTATGGTGAGGAAGAGCATGATTAGCGACAGAGGGGGAGAAAATGCTTTGAAAATCAGAACCCTGAAAATAACATGATAACGACTTTCTGTTTCTGAAAAACATTTTCTTGAATTTGTTCTGAAAAATACATTAAATATAGCAATTACTCAAACATAGCCTTTCAAGGGTTGTAAAAAAAAAGGCAAGTGAATGTGAAAGAAGAAAAGGTGAGAAACAGAAGATATAAAAGAAGAGATTCCAGGCTGTCTACCTGTGATAATAACAAATCATTGAATCTTCATGTTGTATGATAGTCACTTTTTGAAAATAAATCCAAATGGAATTTTTATATCACGAAACATTAGAGTATGTGACATCTTTTGTGTTAATTATTAAAAACAATTTATTTAAAAATAACTGGTGTAGTTTTATTAAGGCATCAGTTTGGTCTTTGGTATTTGGATATTACTTCTTTTTACTTCAAAAATATTTTTATACCTATAACAGTACCTATAGAAGATAGACACATTTATCCAGTTAAGAATAAATTTATATGAACAAGTATTCTTCTCGAAAGTATCTCTCTTGCCCTCATTTTAATTTATTTTTACTAGGATGAATAACTTGATAAGATTAAGTGACTGCAACATTCAAACCCTGAAATGTAAATTAACTATGGCTCTTTTTTTTTTTTTACCTTCTCAAGATATATTCCTGAAATAGACAATTATCTTTTGGAAGTAATTAAAGTAGTCTAATATTTTTTTCTGTAGGTACACATAACTCTATAATCTTTCATTAATATATCTTTACAGAAGGATAGACATTAATGAAAGACTCAGTTTGCTAAAAGAGAAGTCTGATCATGGTCACTTTCCTGTTTGCGGGAGAAACAAACTCAATGACAGTGGTTAAAGAATAAGTTCCATTCAGTCACCTCAGATATAACTCTAACTTCTCTTAACATTGTACATTATCATTATTTCCCTGCATGAATCCTCTATTCCACATAGAGAAATTTCCTTTTGTCCTTTTGTTTAAACTTATTCCTCTGCTTCTGCCTCCCTCTGCACTTGTATCATTCCCCCTGTCCTATAGAGTAGTACATCAGTGTTCCACATCACTGACACAGTTTTGATGTGATCCTGCCACCTTTCCTAGCATTGTATCCAAGCCTATATTAGAACACTTGCCACTTTTTGCTACATATTACGTTGTCGATAGCTTTTTACAGGTCTAACTCTCAAGTGAGAGTCTAGTTTCATTGATGATAACACCTATCACTAAGACATTTTTCTTTACATCCCTTTCGGTGCCTTCAATAGTATCTTACATATAGTGCGTGTTTAGAAAATCTTACTCTATTAATAAATGTTAGATTGTATGAATTTCTGTTTGAAACTAAGGCATTTTAAAAGGCACTTTGAAAATAGAAGTAGATGATTTAGAGTAAAAATTTGATGCATTTTGACATAAGAAAAGATGCCTTGATGAAATTATTAGAGTGACACTAATTATTATAGCCCATTTTCTTACTTCCCAAGTTGATATCACCGGACAATAAGACTAAACCATCAGATGAACCCAGCTTAATCTATAGATGGCGTGTGCCTTCCCCATAGGATATAATTTCGCGAGACCTTGAATGCCTATTTTCTCCACTCGCTTTCACTTAAGACTTTAAAAAGGAATCATTACTGAAATAGGTGTGATGTCTTTGCAGTGTTGAAGGACAAAGATCCTTCATTTCCATAGATTCAGCAAAATGAATAAACGTAATCATTCCTCACTAGCCTAAGACCATTTTTTTTGCATCAATGCTTCAAAGAAAGATATGTTTTGTTGTTCTCTGATCTCTTCCCTTATTAAAAACAAAACACCTCACTACATCTTTCATTGGTATAAGTCAAAGTTAAAACACATCTTTTGACATGTTAAAAAGTGTTACTATTAATATTTTCATTTAAAAAATCTGTTTGGAATCTTTAAAAAAGGGAGTGAGTTGTGTGCTAGTATTATCTTCAAATGGTTGTCAGCTACTTTTGGCAGTAGAGTTCATGAGATTTGTACTATTATATCGCAAAAAGATTTACCTTCTGTAGATGAGGTAGAAAATAAAAGTTGAAATGGTTTTGTTTCCTTCAGATAATATTTAATTTGCCTTTAATCCTAAAGGACAAAAAAAAAAAGAGAGAGAGAATTTGAATTTGAGTACATATCTCCCAAGGACTGTTCTGAGATTTGTTCTATTCTTGAAATTGAAAGCCAAGTAAGTTAATTGAATGCTACCATACCTTGAAGTTAAGCACAATTTGAGTTGGAAACAGGGCACTCTTCTCTCTTTCCAGAATAATCAGCTTTAGAGTTCTGATTTGTTGAATAGCTGTCCATACTAATAAGCAGATGAAGACTTACCCCCAAAGTGTTGGATCTATGCACGTTCCAGTGTACCCATTACCATGCTCAGTTAACTTGTGCTTCTTGATGGCTGCTGAAATGAATGTCTACCTGAATTTCTGTTTGTTTACCCTATACATTCAACTAAACCAAACAGGAAGCAACAAATCAAACCTTTGGGTGCAGGTGTGTAAGAACAAATAAAACAATGACTAATTGTATATTTAAGCTAGCTCTATATTGTTGAAAATGGTGGATTCAATACACTTCTCTCCTTCTACCCAGATTTCTGACTACGTTTTAGTACACTAAACATCGACATCAAAGCATTTCTTAGTATTTAATAGCCACATTGTGTCCATTGAATCATTATTTCTAAAATTTTAGATTTATAACTATTTGATAATTTTGTCCACCCTGTGTAACTACACCAGTGAATCAACTCCAGTCAGTGATAGCACTGAAGGTTAGTCCAAGGTTGGATACAAAATAAAGGCCAAAAACTGTTCATTAACTTCTAGCTAAATCTTCCATATGTTGGGTACTAAAATTTTGTATGTATTACTTATTTAAATCATATCACTATCCAAGTCACTGTTTTGAATATTCTTTTACATTCCAAATATTCTTCAAGAAGATATATGTGCATGCGTATATGTGTGTATATGGTTATGTGGATGCAATGTCTCTTAGAATATTTTCTTTTTTGAACCAGGTTATAGGAAAGTCACAACTTAACTCTGTATAGAGACTTATTTCAGTGATAATTTCCTCTTCAATCTCCTCTTCAAATCTGTGTTTGTACGGATTTGTCATAGAAACAATTTCTGATGAGAGATCTTTAGTGATTTCTGCAAGACCTATTAACTTAGTGTTTGCACAAAGAATATTTGGAATTTATAAATTCTCATAAGAAACACTTTGGATTAAAAAACTTGTAACTATGTATATTTCTTCTAATTTAGCAGCCACCGTTTTGTAGAGGGTCTGTCTGTAGAAATTTATCTTATTAGAACAAAGGAAATTGATTCAAAGTCATATTTTATTTAGATCTATAAATATCGACTAAGGCTTATAAAATGCACCAAGTCACATTAGTGATTCCATAGCTGATTCTATATGGAAGCACATATGATTCCACAGCTGATTAACTGTGGCTAGTGAATGCTCAGAGTCAAGGAGCAAATTCTTTGCCCACTAAACACTGCGAATTTTCTTCTGACATTCACAAACTGCAGATTGTAAAACAAGGCATTGGGTGTTAAATGACCTCAGTCCATTTGCAGAGTATTTATATATCCTTATTTTTTTCTCGACTCAAAGTAGCAAAGAAAATAAAAATGAGACCCAATCCATACTTATAATACTGATATAATAGCCTTGTTTCAGAGTTCAAATAAAAATAATACTTGGAATGCTTTTATCAACAAAATTCTAAAATACATTAACATGGAAACATAATATTTCAAGACTACAGAAGCTCCATTTTGCCTTCATATTAGATTTAATACTAGGGGCTTAGGAGCAATTTATTATAATTATAATGCATAATAAAAATTAGATGGGTCTAGGGTGCTTTTTCTGCAAAATCAGGGAAATATTTTCCTACTCAAAACCATGCAGAGGTCCTTGGCTTTTACGTAAATGGTTAAATGTATACATACATTTTTATCTTTTAAACATTCATCTGCAAAGTTATAGATGAATATTAAAAAAATACAAAAACAAAACAAAGCCATGGATAGTTTATCAAAAATCTAAATCCAAAAGCCTAATAGACTTTGAAAATCTGGCTTTCCTAGTCCTCTGTGCATAGGAAAGTCGAAACACCAGGATCCACGGTCCTTCTGGAAAGGTTTACCCTTCTTTCAGGATGACTGTAGTCCAGCATTAGCATAATAGAGTATGTGTTTCCAGAGGTTATTCCCCACAGCCCCTGAGTGTCTCTTTTGATGTAGCTTCATACTGGAATGCACGCCATTGAGATATAAAAAATGATAAAGCAGCATCTGGAAAGCTAAAATGTTGTAAAAAACTTAAATTACATTTTATTCCTCAGGCTTAAAACACAAATTGAGAATTATTCAAATTAAATTTACTTACTTCTCATACCTCAAAACTGTAAAATGATAGCAAAGGGCAGTTTCAAACAGAGGCAAAATTCAAAATTTTGCAGATAAATTGAATCAGACAGAAAATGTAATATCACTTTTGAAGACACTAGATTATGATAAATTTAAAGAGTAAAGAAAAAAAACTCCTCTTTGAAATAATTCTTAATTTGTGGGTTTCAGGATTCCAATTTATCTGAAATACATAAAGGTGGTCATTTTTGGAGAATAGGACCATTACGCTATGAATTCTTATAAGACCAAGTGCAACCACAGCAAAATATTATCTAAACAACTTAGGGGGAAAAAGCAAAGAAATTCCATGAAAATTAGCTTATCATCTGGGAACATATCAAAATAATTAAACTTATGCATTATACGTTTAGTTAGCAGTTACTTCACTGTTGAAGGTTTTATGATATTCTCCCATGACAACGTAGTATTTTACTCCAAATGCATGTAACTATATATTTATAAGCTAACGGAATTAAAAATTAGATAGTATCTGCAAGCATTAATGTAACATAACACTTTGCAGAGGGCAAAGCATTTTTACAGATGCTTATTGGTCCTCACACAGCCCTGTGAGGTAGGCAGGGCAGTTGTTGCCATCTTTATTTTGTAGGTAGGGATCTTGAAGCTCAGAGACTTTGGTGGAAATGTCCAAAGATAAGTGTGAATCTCCTACTTTTTGCTCCTAGTCCTACACATTTTCCCGTCTATCTCAAATATACAAGGGGCTAGTTATTCAGTGAAGTGGGGAATGTATGAACTTGTGTAAGGAACAAAGGTAAGTCAATCGTAAGTGTATGAATTTTAAGACTACATTGCTATCTTGTGAGGTACATATTTTTTATGACTGCCCATGTTATAAACAAGCCAATCAGACTGAAGCGAAAACCAATAACAAAATTTTTGACAGCTAATTTTAGGTTTAGAAATGATCCAAACAGCTGATTTAAATGTACTAAAATAAAAGGATAAAAGAATAGAATTCTCTAACATTTTGTACAGGATAAAGTTTACAGCTGTTCTTGAAGTTAAATCTTTCCCTGACATATTGGATTATCTGAGTATGTCTTAAACTATTCATTGTATCCATTTAAAAAAAGGGGGTTCTCCTATTAAAATAAAGGGGGCAGGCAGGACAGAGACAGTAGTGCCCGTGCTTCAGAGCAGCACACAACTGGTGCACAGAAGTTGCATACATTATAGTTCAAGCAGCAAATCCCCATGCTCCATCAATTTCGTATGGAGAAAAGAAGTGGGGAGGGCAAATGAAACTTACATACAAGTCCATGATGGAGTGGTCTGGTATCCCGGGTACACCTCATGTAATTTAAATACAAGACAAAGCTAATGAGATCTGTCACCATAACAGAGTGTGGGTGTTGAGAGTCCACCCAGAAAAGTGAAAAAAAGAGATTGTGATTACCTTCACAAGTTTCATTTTGCAGTGTACCACCCCTAGAAATCAGAGTCGTAAGTGATTTTGAATCTTTCTGTTTAGTTTTGCTTTTTAAAAGAAACCACAAAATATTGAAACAAACATCATTGTTTGGCTTAATTCAGGTATTCTTAATTAAACAGTACCACAGACTTTATTGAGCAATTGAAAATATACACAAGGAACAATAGCTTTTTCTCTGTATTTTTTTTTTAATTTGACTTTCTTCCGATTAAATAACCCAGTTTCGATCATGAAAAGGGCACTTGTTTCTACAGTAGCTGTGCACAGCTTGCTCAGTTCCAAGTACTGTTTCCAGGCTTCTTCCTTGTCATTGCTGAGGTTATATCTCCACTTGCTCAGGAAGCAAATTCTAGAGTGTTCCAAGAATTGGCCCCCTAAGTTGTTCTTTCAGATTCTATTTCTCCATAGAGTTCAGCTAACTTTTTAAACTCAGGTCCCCAGTCTCCAAGGTAGTGATAATCCTGGTCTGATTGTGTTGTTGCTGAATCCAGGGAGCTGATCGACCCCGCTTCCGATCTCTGACCCTCGTAGGCATAAGTCTGAAGAGAGTCATAAGGGGGAACGCTGGGATCTAGGTCGGCTTCTGCCAGTCTTTGCTTAATAAATTCCTGAACATCTATACTTTCCAGGGTGGACAATGTCTGGTGTCTGGGGGTGAGGTTCACTTCGGGTATGATATCTCTCCGGTACTTGAGCTCCTCAGCAGCGGACGGATTCCTCAAGGCTGTGATGTCAAAGGCCTCGGTGTCCTCCTCCCCGCCCCCCTCGTCATCATAGGTGACCACATTCTCCCGCACGTCCTCCTCGGAAATGATCAGGGGTTCTTTTTTGCTGCGTCTCAGGGTGATAAAAAGTACTACAATTGCTGAGGAAAAATGCAAAGAGGATGAAGAGTTAGAAAAAAAAGAAGGAAACTCTTGAAGATTTGACATCAGCAATTTCCAACTCCTGTCGTCAATTACATTTCATTTCAGCTTGCAGTGTAACACAACCCTGGTCTCTGCACTCTTTGAATAACACTTCAAGATTTTTTAATATCTCAAAGAATGTAAAAAATGATTATCCCTACAAAACATTGGGAATCACTGATCTTATGCAATCAGGATTCTTGGCTTGCATTGCAGTATAACCATTCAGTGTTTACACAGAGGGACACAGATGATGGAAAAGCAATATGAGATTTTCACTGGAAAAATAATATTATGTGAGGTGGTCTACATGTAGATGCTTAACTTTTGTAGGGAGATACACTAAAGGCAGGATATTTTCGGTTTCTGTAAAATAGGAAGGAGCTCCTACATTAAACCCTTTACTTTTGGTGCTTTGTTGGAAATCAAAGCAGGAATATTTTATGTGGTTGATCTCTTTTGTCCATAATATTATCATGCATTAATAATTGCATTTCTATATCAAATTGCAAAAGATGTTATTTTATTTGTACACAATTTATGTTTCAGGAATTTTCCAGTTTGCACAATTCTCTTTACATGACTTCTTTACTTTTCCTTTTGTGTGTGTGTGTGTGTGTGTGAGAGAGAGAGAGAGAGAAAGATTGGCCCTAAGCTAACATATGTTGCCAATATTCCTCTTTTTGCTTGAGAAGATTGTCCCTGAGCTAACATCTGTGCCACTCTTCCTCTGTGTCATATGTGGGCCACTGCCACAACATGACTTGATGAGTGGTGTCTAGGTCCATGCCTGGGATCTGAACATGCGAACCTTGGGCTGTCAAAGCAAAGGGTGCAAACCCCACCACCACACCACTGGGCCGGCCCTGGCTTTTGCCATTTTCAAAATGAGGAAACTGAGACTCAGGAAAGATTACATGAGTAACTATGATATAAAGTCTAAGATCACATAAATGGCAGGTGGAAGAGCTTGGGCCATGATCTACAACTTCTCACATCCAAAGTGACAATGTTTCCATTACCATATTCTGCTTCATTATTTTAAAAATATGGAATAAGGAACTAGGTGACCAGTATGACATGAGTCAGAATAACTTTACCAAATTCAGTGGATGAGTCCTTATTACTAGTATGCTCACAACCATTGGATGCATTGAGAGAAATGGGTCTTGCATACTTTGCTTTGGCCATTTTTCAGTAGTTTCAGATCACTCTATTAAACCATTACTAAGTAGGAAGAATTACCTCACTTCTACTTTGTGCCATTAGCTCTCAAATCCTTTACTTCATCTCTACAGACTGTTCTCTTCTTGGCTAGCTGATATTCTAGGCTTTGTGATGATAGTTATTAGGTTCATTAGTATTTTAAACATTCTTTACAATATAATAATCAGAAGTACATTCATATGGCATGTATGGTTGTCAGATTTAGCAAATAACGCAGGACACCCAATGAAATATGAATTTAAAATGAATAAAAACAATAAAAATATATGTATATGTATAATATGAGATGAATAACAAAAATATATGTATGTATATACACACACACATACATATAGTCAACTACGTCTCATGCAATATTTGGGACACACACATGCATATGCAAATACTATATGGACACATATATGAAATAAATATATATGTTTGACTCAATATTATTGCATGGGACATACTTATATAATATAGCATAAAAAATATATATCATAAGTATATTATAGCATTATATATATATAGCAGAAGTATGCCCCATGCAATATATCTGTAAGTATATATGTATGTATATATGTATATATATACACACAGACTTAGAGATCTACAGATATATATTTTATCTGAAATTCACATTTCTATACTGTATTTTGTCTATCTATTTATATCTCTATTTTGTATTTGATTCGGCAATCCTAATTATATGAAAGCTTTAACAAATGGTTGTAAAACAAACACCAGCTTAGCCATCCCCTGATCAAGAACATTCCTGGCTCCCTCAAAACTGCCCTTTTACCCCTTACCTCTAAAAAGTAACTTTGATTCTTACTTCTGTTATTGTTTCTTTGCTTCTCTTTATAGTTTAACCCCTTTTGATGTCTACTCATAAACAATATAGATGAGCTTTGCCTGTATTTTACCTAGATACCAAAGTGTACATACTTTCTTAAGACTTGAAAATATGGAGAGGAAGAGAAATAGATTTTCAAGCCAGATGTGGAAAGGGTAATTATGAGAGAGAAGTCTACTATATGTCAAAAGAGATAGTCACAGTGCACTGTGAAGAAACTAATTTTGCAGAGAAAAGGCAAGTGTGAGCCTATGAGAATAAAGGCAAAAAAAGGTAAAACACCTTTAGCGAGGGTCAGAGAATCATGTGGAAAATTATGAAATAAGAGGGTCCTGACTAGGTAATGGGAAAATGCCATGGGGGAGATTATGGCAGACACAGGGAAGCACTGAGTCACTGTGTTGGGAACAGAGTGATTACAGAGAGCTGAGAATGAAATGTGGATGCTATGCATGGCCCTGCGTCACAGATACTATGCTACAGAATAAAATAGTTTCCCATGCATGTTGCTTATGCTTCAAAGACATTTTTTAATATAGCTATTTATTTTGGGGGTGGGGAGACCTTTGCTGAATGCAGTAAATATGCCTTAGTACCTCACTGTTTCCTTAGTGTAAATCCAGCCTCCAGCTTTCTAATCCAATGACCCAAGCAGCCTCCTCAAGTAACTCACTTCATTCTATTGAGAGGTTTAGATTTATCGTCCACTATCTACTTCTGCACATCTTTATGATTAAGTGAGGAGGCTGTTCTAGATTAAAACATCTATTTATGAGGACTGCCTAATTTATTATCATAAAATTTCTTTTGTCAATAAATCAACCTATTTTTCTTTATGTTGACATGGTTGGTCGTTGATGTTAAGGGAATTTATGGGCATGCGTAACAGGGAGAATGTGATCAATACTGTTATTGAAGTATGGAGGTAATTTGCATCCTTCATCAATATTAGTATCATATTTGTCTAAAGAAACATAGGAGATAATGCTGGGTTTATTATTAAGATAGTTTATATTTGCTTATTCCCCCAAATTTAAGAAAATATTCTTGATATATTTTGACTCAAAATATAGGTACTAGTTAAGTTTGAACTTTGAGCTTTTATGTCTATCTCTTTTCCAGGTATAGATAGTTATTTGCCAGTGACCAAGGATTCCTAGATTTGTTACATACCTATTTAATATACAGATCAGCATATAATTAATCATACAATCAGAGATACTTTTAAAGGTGAAAGGGGATGTCATTTATAATTACATCAGGACATCAGGACAAATATGGACATATGGCCCCTCTAGTAAGAGGCAAATTCAAATCAACTCAGAGAAGACTTGGGAAACTAGATGAGAAGCTGTGCCCCTAATTAACTGCTTTCATTCGTGTCTGTTCAGTAGATGTTTCTGGAGCAGACGGCACAGAGTAGATACTCCATAAACAATTCTTATGTGGATGAACAAAAGAATAATCTCTGTGAAAGTGACAATGTGGGATTGTCTTAAGAGAATCTTCATGAATAGTAATAGCCTCACTAGAAAAATAGTTTTAAAATATATTTTTTAAAATCAGCTTATGGTTACTAATAATACCAAACAATTAATTTTTTAATGTTTGAAAACCAAACTAAATATTTCCCCCCAAATCCCAAGACCAAATTTAAGACAATGAGTGAAGATAATAATTATGCATATAGATTTGAGAGTTAAATTCCTATTTAAAAACTGGCAGTCAGATGGGTATATTTAAATGACCCGCCCCCCGACAGTCTATCAAACCAGACATGAGAAACAAGGTACCTCTTCTTACAGTGGGTCATCTCAGAAAATATAATATGTTAGAGTCATGGTCTTATAAAAGGAATAAGAGATACAGAGCTTGTCCTTCTTTGTTCAAAATTATAAATGATTTCTGGTATTTTGAAGTTTGGTTATATTTTCTAGACTTAAACATGAACAAATTTTTTGAGATGTCTTTATTCTAATGAATATTTTATTCTTGGTTAGTGTATTTTTTTCTTCTCTTCTCTTCTCTTTGAGTTTTGCCAGGATTTTAAACCCACTTGGTTCCTTTTATTTAAGAAAATTAAAATGAATTTGTGTCATTAATTTATTTTAACCATAAAGGAATTCAAATTTGCAGAAATATTTTTCTAATTATTTTCTCATATATGTTATTTATTTCTATATATTATCATTGCAGTGCTTGGAATACTATGGGGTTTCGAGTTTTCATAACTTAAACTGTCATACAACCTCCATGTGAACACATTATGTACTGACTCCCAACAGACTGCCCCCCAAATACTTTTCATAGCAGATTTTTTACTCCTAAATATTACTCAATTCTTTTTTATACCATCATATATTAGTAGTAAATTTGGTAGAATGAGGTGCCCCAAGTCAAGGAGATTACTTTTATTAGCTTCTTTAGTGCTATTGGTCACACCTGATAATGGCTCTTCTCACCGAAACTTACTTTTTCAAACCAAGGGGAGCCCACAAAGTCATTTAAGGCAGCTCTGATGACGAACAGGTTGGCAATTATCTCCTCACCAATTCCACTTCCTCTCCTAGTCCTTCTCTCTCCTCACACCAAATCCAGCCTGGTCCCCATTTATCAGGAAATATATATGCAAGAGTAGGAGCAACGTAGGTAGTGGACTCATCTAGGTCACCTGCTTATATGTGATGTGTGCGCTGAAAGAGTAGCTGGCAGAGGTCGCATTCAGATCCTGATTCAACGATTTGTTGAGTTAAGTGTGATTAAGGTTTGATCTGCCAACTGCCCCGGTCCCCTTGGCAAGCGATAGGGTGAGATGGGGAAAGAAACGTCAGATCTCTGGAAGGGAAAGAGGACTATAGCTACCTGCTCCTCCAGCACCAAACTCTGACTGCATCCTGAAGGCCCACTTTAAATTCTCCCCTCCCATCCCATAAAAATGTAATCCTGACAGAAGATAACCCAACCCACAACATGTACATCTGCAATTTAAAGTTGGGTCCATCGCTTTTCTAGCACCATTTTCAGATAATCAGTAAATACACAGCTGAAGTCTGACCATATTGTAAAATACTAAATCATATGTAACCTACAATAAAGCATAAATAAGCACCACCGAATTTTACAGATGACTAAGGTCCTTCTAGTTGAAAGTTTATTTTCACAGATTTGGAAACAGAAACAAGAGACTGACTGAGTTGCCTGAGGTCATGTGGTTAATTAGTGGCACAACTAGCTCTGGGTTTATGCAATCGTACTCATTTTCACAAACAAATAGCTAATAGTCAAAATATTTTTCAATACTAAAATATTAATTTCACAATTTGTTTAGCTGTTAGGGTTGAGTGTTATTTCAGAATTACAAGTTCTAAAATAAAGTTGTGCAACCTCTGGTGTTGCAGAATTTTTTTTTTCTTTGAAAATTATGAGCTTTCACAGTAACCAATATTATTTCAAAATTACAAATGACTAGATTCTAAGTCTGTTGGCTAAATATTTTCTGAATAACAATAAACCCTTGCAATGTCATGAAAAATATAAATTACATTATAAGTACATTATAAGTAATGTAATTTTGTTTAAACCCAAGCGTAGGAAATTATTCTATATCCTTTGGATAAAACTGCAAAACAAATTTGAGTTTCAGGAAAAATTGAAGGCATAGACGTATCAAATGGCAACCTTTGTTTCATTAGTCCTGAGGGATAGCATAAAATTTTAAAATGTCCTCTTGTTTACTCCAAAGGGGAAACAACGTTTTCATAAAATTAATTAAAGGAAAGTATTGTTTCATGAAATAATAAAATATTACTTTACATAATATACCTTACATGGTCCTGTATATTAACATTTTTCAATTACTTTTTAAACTTTTATCTTAGTTCACAAAATAGTTTTATGATGATAAATGAAAACAAAAGCCAAAGGTAACAACTGAACTATAGTTCCCCAACTGAACTATCTTTCAGAATAAGGACTCTAGAAGTATTTATATTAAAGTGATGGAGTTCTATTCTTTGTAGTTTAAGTTAGGAATTCTAGAGGAATTAATGTATGCAGTTATTTTATTTTATTTTTTATTTGTTTTATGAGTTTTTGTCTTAATTTTCAAAGACGAAAAACGTTAATATGTTAATATCTAAAGAAAATAACATTGGTGACCAATCAATATATAAACAAATAAAATCTAGAAAGCGTGATTTTCCTGGCTTCCTTCTCCATCATGCTTTTACTATAAAAGACTATGTACTGCAAGGAAATAGTTCTTGTTATGGTATGTCCAATCTCCATGCTCCACGTTGCTAAGTGCAACTGATACTTTTTGCTATTCAATTTATTTAATTTCTGAGCAGCTTTTAACATTTTTGAATGTCTGTCCTCTTTAATATACATTTTTTCCTTTGACTCTCAAGACATTATACTTTACTAATTTACTAATTTTCTTCCTTCTTTTCTGCCTTCTCCTTCGATCTCTCTTGTATCTCATCCTTCTTGACTTAGCACATGGCAGTTTATCACAGCTCAGGCCTAGTCTTCTGTTTCTTTCTTTATACCGTATTCTTTTGCTGTAGCGACTTCAACAAAGTGCACTTCCGGTGTCCCCCAGCTCAGGGGAAATCACGGCCCACACTCACCAAGAAATGAAAGGTGTTCTTTGACACTGTTCTAACTCAGCCACATGTTTACCCAAGACCATCTTTTTTGGGGAATTTTTTGCTGTGTCAGTTTTGGCCCTTGGAAACTCGTTTTAAGAAAAAGACATTATGTTAGAAACATTAGACATTTGCTCACTGACATGAAATTAGGAAAATTGCAGTTTTCATACAGAAACTCAGACACTTCCAGTAAACATTTAGTCAAGATTTTGATAAATATTTTCATCCAGGGATCTGCATCATGTTATCCAAGATCACTTTCGATTTCACTGAAACATCTTGACATTATCCACCTTCTTCCCCTCCGCTCTCAGTATGCAAGGCTAAATGTCGCTGTGTCTGAGCGAGACAATTGCATCGCCTTCCTAATCCGTCTGCCTGCATGTCTTTTGCCATCATGAGATCTATTCTCTACTTCATTCATAGGCATCCTTTATCAAAATGCAAAGTTTATGATGGGACTCTCTTGCTTTAAATCTCTCTTTACCCTCCTAGAACAAAGACTAGCATCTTTGCCGCGCCAGCGAAGCCCCAAACTATCCAAGTAAATATCCATTCTGCTTTTCAGTGTCATTCTACCTTGCTCTCCACCCGCTCTGTACCAGTAATTTGTCTTCCACCCCGGAAACAAAACAAGGAACATTTCTTGGAAGAAAATGTCTGTCTCACCAAAGCATGCAGTTTTGTTCTTTTTTTTTTTTCATGTTTGCACAGAACTAAGAAAAGAGCAAAAGATAAGGCTGCTAAGAGAAAGGTAGAAGTTGGGGGAGACGCTGGAAAAAAATATGTGCCCACTTTGAACTATGGGGCAGAAAGATTCTTTACATGTGTCTTTCTTGTTATAAAAATCTAGATTCTCTGTCTTGTTTTAAACAGCAACGTTAAGAGTTTATAGTAATATCAGCTTCAAATGCGGTTGTGCTAAGATTTAGCCTATTAAAAAGATAATATATAATTAGAAAAAGTATTTTATTTTTTATTAAAATGAAATGTAATGCAAATCTGTAATGAAAAATTCTATTAAATTTAATAAAATTTAATATCTCTAAGGCCAAAATTATATAGATTTAGTACTTTAAAATTCCTCTAACATTGATGATTAAATAATATTTTAGACTGATAGAAGTTTCTACCAGAAATCTGTTTATTTGGTGTTCAGATTTATTGTAGAATGATATCACTTATGTTCTTTGAAATAAATTGTAAAATCCCTTTCAATATGGGATTCAGACTATTTAATATCAATTCTTTCTAAAATAGATTCTTTACAAAAAGATTGCTCTCAAAGTCTATCTTTTCCTCTGATATTTCAACTCTTTCATCACATTCGAATCAAATTATTTCTAGATTAACTATGGTATTGAGAAAGTTAATTAAAAGGACATCTGTGCAGCTGTGTTTTGTTATCCAAATTATGCGTTCCTAATTCTTAAGTTTTGTCAAAATGACTGTCCCTCTCTGTCTCTCTCTGTCTTTCTCTTTCCTAATGCACCCCTGGCCATTGTAGGGTACCATCAGCATTGCCATCATACAACATTAGGATTTACAATGACTTACCCAGGAGAATGACAACACACAGAAGAATAGCGATTAAGGCTCCTGTACTCAAACCCGCCGAGGACAGGAACGCTTCTGCATGGCAGGTCCGCACGCGCCCATCTCTCTCGCATGCACAAACCCTGATGGTGAGGGTGCTGCTGCTGCTGAGAGAGGGGATTCCACCATCAGAGATCATAATGGGGAGATAATACACATCCTGAATAGTTCGACTAAATCTCCTCCGCCTTGTCAGAATGCTGGCTGTGTTATCTATGACAGACATAAGCAAAACAAAATGTACTTAGTAAAGTTGCCATTAAAGATTCACATTTCCTTCAATGGATTAAATGGCTATGTGTAATTTCTTTTTCAGTTCATGAAATGGACAAGGGAACATGACGAGGTGATTATTAAAGCGTAACTAATATTGGTTCTCAAATTTAGAAATTATTTTAAAAGTTAATTGAGCCCAAACTAAAAGAGAGGGGAAATAGTGGAAGACAGAGGAGGGAGGAAGCAATAAACATTTTGGACATGGACATAATAGCCAAAGGATTAAAAAGGATAAAGATAGCTTAAAGCCAGTGGATCCTAAACTTTGGGATGAGCCAGTAGTCCTCAACCCAAACCTGCTGACTCTGAATTTAATCTGTGTTTTTAAACTATTCAGGTGATACTAATGTACGAAAAGTTTAAGAACCACTGGTATAGACAACATATTTATGGAGACACCAGATCAATTGATAAAGCCTTTTAGACTTAGTCATAATTTGAAGCACTCTTGTCGTAGTGGGCAAACCATGGTAAAATTAATGATGAATAAAATAGTTAATTCTATTTTCTATGTGCTTTTTAAAAGCTATGTACTATAGGAAATGCTTGCATGGTATATTTTGCTCAATTCACAAAACATTATAAGGGAGAGGATTTTAAATTCCTAACATTTTTGGGAAAATTATTTTTACTATAATTAATACTTTAAAAATAAATAACCTGAGTCCCAGAGGGTAAATTGCCCAAAATCACAGAGCTAGTGAATGATCAGGCTACAATCCCAATACATTCTAGAACTCTCTCAAAGCCACAATGTTGTACTGCCTCTTCTTCAGCAGTTCACTTCCAACTGGTATTGATGACCTCAGGTGCACACAGGACATCATTATCTTGGCATCGTTATTCCCCATTCCAGGCCTATTAGTCAAAAGACCCTTCTGGTGAATACTTGGATGTGCAGCTCAGATCCACTGCATGGAAGGACTTGTTACCCTAGCTGTAAATCACGACCTGGCCCAAGGTCACACCCTTCTGGAATAGCACCTAATCAATGATTTATTGCTGCAAGGTTATAAAGGTTAAGACATTTCTGCTGAATGCAGACAATAATAAAGGGCGAGTTTTGTTCCAGAGCTTTCCCATGGGGTCAGCCACAGACACATTACAATTGCATGGCAGCTCGATTTCTCACTCTGCCCAACCATTCTTTCCGCTGAGGTCCACAGATGTTGATCCTAAGGGCACACATCCTGTCCTCTAAACTCCAATTCAGGGTCAGCTTCCCAGAGAATCAAACCTGTGACCTCACCCATGAGTTAATTACTTTTCGCTAAAAAGTAAGTGGATCATTAGACAATTATATTTAAAGATTCATTTTCTCATATAAATTTCTTTTATTTTGAAAATTGGAATTGTGTTACATATAAGTGTGTCTATGATAGAAGTGATATAATATCCTGCAGCTATATTTTCCTGATTGTACTTTGCCAAAGTAATGCAATAGAAAGATAATAGATTTTTCAAACATTAAATGTAAAACATAATAAAACACATGAATTATACATTACCTATATAAATTTTATATATATATATACATATATACATACACACACATCCATCTGTCAATCTATCTATCTATCCATCTGTCTACCTATCTATGTTGTTGGAGGTTTATTATGGAGTATAAGTAATCTAACAAAGAACTGAAAAAGATTTTCTTACTTTGTAGAAGACGAATTATAAAATAGTATCAATGGTCTATTCCGAAGCAGGTTTCAGAATAGAGAAAGAAAACTAGAGAAATTGCAACGTGTGTCATATAAGAGTACAACAGTCACACATACTCTCCCAGAAAACTGAAGCTTTGAGGAAGCACAGCTATCAGGTGTAGGATGTTGCATCGTGATTAATACAAACTTGTCTATATGTACAATTTGTTATTTGTCTTTCAGGATAATTATCAGAAATGTTGCCCTTCAGTATAATTATCAGAAATGCAATCAGAAACAGGATCAGCGACAAGAAGAAAGTCAGAATACGTTTCTGGTGCAGTTTAAGTTAAATAGAAAGTTCTCAGACATGGAGACATAAAAATGTTCTTTCTTTTTTCCAACTGAAGCTTTGACTTTTGAAAAGAAAAGAGGATTCAGGAAGCAAAGATCTTCCCATCTAGAAAGGCTTAGCACAGCACAATAAGGAGCTCTTGACAAGGGATGTTGTGTACCTCACTGGAACTGCAAAAATGTGCTTAGCAGAAGACTCACTGACCTTGAACAAGAAAACTCTGAACTAAAATGAAAGGAGTAAGAAGATATATACACACATATGTAAACATACATATATACATATATAATTTTGAATATATATATATATATATATACAGAGAACAAATATATCTTGTTGAAACTGAAAAATTAGGTGACAAAAGCAGCAACAAATCTCTCAACTTGAAGTATAATGTTTAAGAAAATAAAAGTATTATAGAAAGTCTTGCATGACTTCCAAGTGGATAAAATAATTGAAATGAGCTGAATAAAAGGTAACCATAGCAGAATGGAACATCTGTGGATGAAAAATACCTATTATCAATGTCAAATAAAGGACAATCTCTAATAATGTGTACACAAGCTTGCTTCCTCATTCTGACACTCAGCAGTTTGGATGAAGACAGAAGCTTACAGAACACTTGGACATCAAGCTCATATAGCTAATATATTGAACTAGGATTCAAGGAGATTTTGAGCAGCTGGCACAAAGATCTTAAACTAACAAGACAACATGAAATCAGGATGTATGTTAGATGGCAAACTCTGAAAAGTATCAAATGGGAGAGCTCTTGAGTGAGATCTATTATTTTGAAATATATATATATCTGAATTTATATCAATATCTGATATATATATCATCAGATATATAGATATATATGTATCTATATCATCTGATATATATGTATCTATATCATCTGACATCTATATATGTATCATCTGAGATATATCAGAGAGAGAGATATATATACATATCTGAATGGAGCGATAAGGCAATAGAGAGGCCAAACAAGCTCGAACAGTCCCAGAAGCATTCAATAAAGGTATTGAATTTCTACGTATCTCTCTATTGAGAAGACTTAATTGGAATACTGTGCATATTTTGGGTTCTACTACATTCAAAGTGATACTTTAACCCAATGGAGTGTATTTAGAAGAGCTTGACTGCGATGGCAAAAGAGTTACAAAGGGGCGGGCCCAGTGGCGCAGTGGTTAAGTGCGCACCTTCCGCTTCTCGGCGGCCTGGGGTTCGCCCGTTCGGATCCCGAGTGCAGACATGGCACGGCTTGGCAAAAGCCATGCTGTGGTAGGCGTCCCACGTATAAAATAGAGGAAGATGGGCATGGATGTTAGCTCAGGGCCAGTCTTCCTCAGGGAAAGGAGGAGGATTGGCAGTAGTTAGCTCAGGGCTACTCTTCCTCAAAAAAAAAAAAGTTACAAAAATATGTCATATGAAGAATCTTTGAAACTACATCATGTGAAAATTCTACATGTCACATATGAATTTAGGAGACCAAAGGATCTCAGATATTGTCCCGAAGTTGGGGAAACTCTCTTAGTAATTACTGTCTTTCTGAATATAATCAATATATTCCTGATACTCTCAGCAACTATATCTTCAGTGTAATGTAGAAATAGCCTTGAACATGTTTTAATCTTTCAAAATAAATGACGGTACCTTCTTTATTTTGTTATATATCCCATTTCTTGTGCAGAAAAGAATATGGGCACATAGAGGAGGAATGAGAGAGATTGTCATGCAGACATTTAATATCTGACTCCTATGGACATTTAAAAATATCACTGTGATGACTGTGAAAGAATTGAAATTTGGAGTCCTTTGAAAAGCAATAATAATAACAAAATTCATTCTTGTAGCTGGAGGAATTCCAGAGATTTTATAATTGACTGATAATTTTGTGGGGAGCTTTCACAAAAATAATTTTAGTGAAACGTATTATTGGATAGATAGATAGATACACTTCTAATCTCTATATTTCTAAAGGACAGAAGGCTACAGATTAGGATAGCATAATACAAGTTTCATACTGCCTCTAGAATTCAGATATAATTTTCCTGAACTAATAATGTCATTATTTCTTTGTTCAGTATCTTGGAAAGTATTGAGAGATTCTAATCTGTGTGCCACTTTTGTAAACTTTAAAACAGTTTAATTTAAAATAAAGCATGTTTTTAAAATAATTCCTGGCGAAAAACAAATCCCATACTAAAGTCCAAAATTACTTTATATCTTGGAAAGTATTGAAAGTATGTATTCTTCAAAACCCTTAAATTATTAGATACTCTGTACTCTCTGCCATTTCAATGGATTCCTCGTTTGATAATGCAAGCATAAAGATATACTTTACCTGAAGCACAGCCTAGCAGATGATTAAGATAATATTTCTAAATGTATCAGAATAGCAAAAACATTTGGAATCTGCACATATGAATCTTTAACTGGTCTAAATTTTTTTTTAATCTGTTTGAAGAGAAAGCTGGTAAGCAATTTCCACCAGACAGATAAATACGCATGGCTTAATATTGTTTTCATTTTTTCCTAGTTTTCCAGCAGCAATAAGATCCATTCATAATTTAACCATTATCAGAGCCCAAGCATGAAACAAAATGCTCTTTTGCTTTCCTGCAAAGCTCCTTTCACATAATAGGTACTTGATAAATAACGATTTGAATTACACTCAGCAGGAGCTTGTCTTCTGTTACAGTTTTCTTCTTATGTTGACATGTATTAAGAAATTAAAACTAAAATGAGCTGGCATATCTTGTAAAACTTCAGCAGCATGATCTTCTCATGCTCTCTACTGAACGTTTATTCCTTCTTTCATGTTTCCTGACTTCCCTTTCTTTTAATCCTAGAATGGCTCTAATCTCAATTTTCAGATTCTGCCTGTACATTTAAGTTTGTAAACACCCTCCTGGCCTCATTTGTGT